ACCAGGCTGGAAATGGCTGGAAACCAGCCTGGAAGTGGCCAAAACCCCTCTAAAACCAGCCTGGTCGACCAGCTAAAACCAGCCAACCAGCTTAGGCTGGTTTAAGCTGGATTTTTCAGCAGGGAAATCCCAAATAACTTGTGATTATAGTTTTGTTTGTGCGCTGGCTGAATCTGCAGCAAAACTCTAATGACACACACACACAAGATCGTGAAAAATATGGTGAAATACAGTGAAAGAGAAAAGGAAAGGAGGAGAATGGCAGCAAAACAAATGAAAAAGTGCGAGAGCAAGACAGCGCGGTAGATACAGAGAGATATGGCGTGTGAGAGATTGGTGGGGTGTTCTGCCTGATAGGGGGTCAATGCTTCTCCCCGGAGCCCCATTACTGGGTGGCATTAACGGATGTGGTGGGCCAGCGGGGGCATGGAGAGGGCCCGGAGACACAATGTGTGAGAGAATGAAGAAGAACAATCTGATAGTATCTCCTCTTCACTGCAGCCACCCACACAGCACCATCAATCACTGCCGAACACAGCAGCGTGCGCGCACACACATACACACACTCACACACACACTCAAGTGGACTAATGCCCATTAGCATCGCTGCAGACCGAAGGCATGTTTACCTGCGCAGGGCAGAGAGTAACCCAGCAGCGGCTCCTGGGTGAACTGCCGCTCGTTGAGTCGGCTCACACAGTACAGGTGGAAACACTCCAGGCAGATCACATGACGCTCGGCACACTGGAACACCAGCACTGGAGTCCTGCCAGACAGGGAGGGGACTCAGTTATTTACACAGTGCACGTGCACAACATGTTAGAAAATAGAACAATAGAGTTTGATGTCAAGCCAATCAGAACAGTGGAGGGCAAAATAAGCTTGGTGTGTTTTCATTCAGGTTTAGGTCAGGACTCTGGACTGCCATTTTAATTCTTTAAATCTTTCATAAGAGGGCTAATAATTTTGACTTCAACTGTACACACACACACACATAGATTTTTTTAAATCTAAATTAAAATGGCTCATTTGAACTCAGAATATTTGTCTTTGAGAACGGATTTCTCAAGCCAGGTGGCGCATTAGACCAGGGGCTCATCTCCCGTTTCCAAAATGCATCACAAACTGCTTGAGGAACTTTTCTACTTTGATAATTGCTAATGAAAATAAATCATGTTCAAAATGATGTACTTGTGTTTATTAAATGCTTATTCAGTTAAGCATGAAGTTGAACTGTGTATATATATATATATATATATATATATATATATATATATATATATATAACAAGAGAGTCTTGTACCACAACTGCTACTCTTTCTTAACGTTTTATTCTGAATTTGAGCTTAAATGCAGTATGTATGACCCAATCAGCCGTCAGGACATTCACCAATGAGAACAGGTCTGCTAGGAAAGCGGAGGTGGTGGGCATGATTGTTTCATTCAGATATGTTGACTCTTTAAAACCTTTACAGAAACCACCAACACCCGTGTAACAGCTCTGAAATCTCACGCCGGTTTTTTCCAGAGCTCCTCAAATGCAGACTCACTTGACTTGCTAGTCAACTCGCTAACACACTGTACCACCTCCCTGACCTCTCTCTCTCCAGCTTCGATTGAAAGAGACCGCCCGCGTCCTTGCCGGTGCCCTTTTAAACAAACGGAGGAGATCTGCGTGGAGGAAGAAGAAGAGTGGAGTGGAGGATGGTGGAAAAACAAAGCTCCACTCGGCGGGGTAATTGCGGCGCTACTTCAATCAGTCCTTGATTTGAATGGCGGTTGTTGGTGATTGGCCTCCATTGTCTGGTTTCTGCCTGACCCTCCGTGCGAGACCAGCAGGTAGGAGCATTTTCCACGGGAACGCCCTGCTAATAGCTGACCTTCATTGGTAGGACACACTTAGCGCTCGCTTTTTCTGGAAAAAAAATAAATAAATCGGCCACTGTTGATTGAAGGGCCGCACAGTATGAGGCATACACAGGTTCAAGGGTACAGGCAAGCTTGTCTTTCAGCATGTTTGTATCAATCTTTAGTTTACTTGTCCGTCGCACTGTGGGTATTTCATCTTTTTTGACCGCCGGATCAATCAGAAAGCCTCGAAATATTCTGTCAAAGCTTGCTTTGTTTTGGAAAGAAACTTTTTCTATCTGTTATTGGTCAGATTTGATAGTCTGTGAGAGAATCTAACAAATGTTTGCTAATAGTTGAATTATTTACATCATTTATTTAGCAGATGCTTTTATTAACCAGTTAAACTCGGCTGCTATTTTGGGATTTCCGCCTGGATTTTGCCTACCCAAATTTAAAAGCTTCCCAAATTCACATGCAGTGGTGTAAATGCAAAAATTTGGTATCATTTTAAAGAAAACCCTTTGAATTTTTATAAAACACTATTGAAAGTGTTTAAATATGTGTATATGTTGTCTGTGTTATAATAAACACCTAAAAAAAGAGGCACTTTTTGTATTTTGTATTTGTATTAAGTGTACCTTTTAGGTTCTGTGTGGACTAGGGTGCTGTAATTAATTTTGGTGGTTCCTGCACATGTCTGTAATCACAGGAAAAAAGAAAAATGTCTCCACCATAATCTATGCTAAAGTTATTGTATTCCAACTGATGAGAGGGGCTGTACAAGCCACAGGGAGCGATCATTGATTTCATATTTCACTATTCTTTTGTTTGATCAAACATAACTCACTGTGTTTGGACCACATCAGACATATAAAAGGATTACTTATGCACATCACCTCAAAAACAGAGGAGAAATGGCCCTGAAGCGCACGGCATAAGGTAAGAGATGACAGCTGTCTGTGCTATCTGGGGCTGCTTATTGACCATGAATGTATTGTTTTCACTTCTGCGCCATGGAAACACTGTGATTCATTTAGCAACTGTTTGATATGTGAATATAATTCAGTAAAAAGAATGCTAGAACCGTATGAGCACCGGCAAGAGCTTTCATTTGAGCTATATCTTGTACATGTGTCATATATGAACCATATGAAAAATATGAAAATGAACCAATGTTCAATACCCAGCTCGGGTATCCAAAATACTGTGTATTTAAGTGTAAATAACTTTTGTACAGTAGGATAAAAACTAAAGTGATGCATTTGTGCATAAAATATAGATTCTACACTTTCAAACGAAACCACTTACGGGGGTCTGGTGCAAAGCTAGCCCTTAAAATCTTAAAGCGAAAGTCGATGACGTCACGGACCCGGTACCTGGTCCACAGAGTTTAAGTGGTTAAAAGTGACTTACAATTAAGGAGGCATTCAGCAATTCAACAAGAAGAGCTAATACACACAATAAGTGCTAGTAATAAGGGCTCTAAAATCAGACGCTAAAATTATTAGCTGAAATAACCTCAAAAGGTTTAAATATGGCTGCTGCATCGGGGGACAATAGCGCAGACGAGCTAAGAAGACAGCAGAAAATATACTACAAAATAAAAGTCCTTATACTAAAACATACTAAGTAATTTTGACACCATTCACACTAGTTCTGGTTTGTTGTGATTTCATGGGTGCTTTAAGGAACCGTGGATCCCCTGATAATAGTTCAGCTTGGGAAAAGCGAGAGTCACTCACATGATGTCTGTGCAGGCGATGCAGGGCACTCTGCGTGTGTTGGGCATGATCAGATCCAGTGCCACTGAAGTGTCATTATCACATGTGGGGTGGGAAGCACATTTCAGGTAGAACTCCTACAAGAAGAACAAATGAGATGTAATCATGTCCTGCAAACCCCCTATAACAGTCTGAACAACCTCACTGCAGTGGCATTATAGATTTGCAGCATGAGGGTAGATTTACTGGAGCTGAGTTAAAGCTACCAATACAGACCACGCACTGGACGCTCCACATAGTCTGCTGAGCATTGAAGTGCTAGACAGATAAAAAAGTACAACATACCTTAAAATAAAAGACATTTGCTACTTATTTAAAATGAGTTAAAACATCCACATTCTTTAGACTATTAGGCAAGAAAGTCCTATTTCTTTTGCATCATTTGCATTCACATGCAACTTCATTATACAGCAGATTAAAGCTATTATAAGCATAAAGGGGCTTTAATATGATAATTGTTTGCCATCTCACCGCCAGTCTGCCATTACAGCCTTGTGACTGACACACTCCGTGAATCCGGTTTGGGAGAAGGACGTCGTCCCAGCAGCTCGGCCCCTGCAGAAGATCACAGAGATGACAGACATCAATCACTGGAAGATCAAGAGAGACGCGGCAATTAAACAACAAGGAAAGGGCAAGACTATAAGGAGGAATAAAATAAGAGTGAAACGACAGGACAGTTTAACTTAAAGAGAAACAGATCAAAAGACTGGATGGTATTTTGCTTTTCTGTTTAGAGACTTAAATATGACATTTATATACAGTTTAATCTCTTTCTCTAGAAACACGAAGAGAGAGGTTTGCAAACTTGCATTTGTGAATGTGAAATTTACAAGGTAATCAAATAAAGTTTATAGTACCCTCCAAAAATTACTTCTGCTGCTTGTTCAAATCACTTAAAATAGGTTGAACTCACACGATTGTTGAGATTTTGGGGGCCAACCTAATTGTTTTATGTTCAATCCACTTCAATTTGTTAACTTAATCTGCTGGATTTAACATAAATGAATTGTGTGGAACACTGCATTTTTTTTTACAGTGTATGAATAGGAATGAAATCAGACTGAAAAACAGTTAACTCGAAGAGAAATAGATCAAATACCTGGATGGATGGTTTTTGCTAAGCTCAAAACTTTATTGCAGTCTCCATTTGAAAGAAATAATAGTGGCGGTAAAAGGACAACAACTTTTGCTGCTTAAGACATTTTCTATAATGATTACAGAGATAGAAGTTTAATAGATTTCATTCCACTTGGTTCCTTGCATGCGCAATATTATATTTTTTATATAAAAACACTTTAACCACAGAGAATGGTTTATAACCAAGTTATAAAGCTCTCATTAGCATTATGCATAATGTATTACCATTTTAGAAATCATACTTTGGTGAAAGTAAAATGGCTAGCTATTTTCAGTCAAAATAAATTAATAAATCAAACAAATATAAAAAAAAATGTTAAATAATAATAAAATAAAATAGAATGAATTAATTAATAAAAAAGAATAAAATAAAACTAAATGGAATGAACGAATGAATAAATAAATATAATAATGTAATATATATTAATTAAATAGACTGAAATAAAATGAATGAATGAATAAATCTATAGAATAAAATAGAATGAATGAATTAATAAATAACAACAAATAAATAAAACAAATTCAAAAAATAAAATTGAAGGAATGAATGAATAAATAAATGAATAAATAAAATAAAAAAACAGGATGAAAGAATAAATTAATGAATGAATAAATGAATGAATAAATAAATAAATTAATTAATTAATAAACAAAAAAGAATAAATAAATAAATAAATAAATGAATAAATAAATAAAATAAAACAGGATGAATAAATGAATGAATACCTGAATAAATAAATACATATAAAACAATAGAATGAATAAATAAATAAAATAAAATAAAACAGGATGAATGTATAAACAAATGAATGAATAAATCAATAAATATATAAAATAAAATAGAATGAATAAATAAATGAATAAATAAAATAGCATAACCGGAGGAAGGAATAAATGAATGAATGAATGAATGAATAAATAAATAAAATACAATAGAATGAATAAATAAATAAATAAATAAACAAAATAAAACCAAACAGGATTAAAGAATAAATGAATGAATAAATGAATGAATAAATAAATAAGTAAATAAATAAATAAATGAATAAATAAATTAATAAATTAATTAAATAAAGACTGCATGCTATTACCAATTTGGTTAAATTCACATAAAAATTTGTTACATGAGCTTAAAATCTGCAATTTATCATACAACTCCATTACAGTCTAAATCTATACACTCCAAAAAAAAAAAATTTGAAAAAAGCTTTGGTCACACCTTATTTTGATGGTCTGTTTATTGAATTTAAGACACATTGCATCTACAGTATCTACATAGCAAGTAGACAGTTGGGGTTGACATTATGATGGACGTGTTTAAACTGAGAGACAATGTGACAGAATTAAAGGTTGTTCTGAATTATGTCACTGGCACAAAGATCCTGAAATGCTGATCAGTTGTGGCATTATTGCATTGTTAGATGAATCAAAACACAATCAGCAAGAACTGCACTTCATTTAGTAATAACACAATCAGGCCCGCTTGATGATGTTGATGCACTGCTATAGTCATTAATGCATTTTATAATAGGCGGAAAATTACTACTCGTCTGACTGACAACAAACCATAGAAATAATGATGCATCTAGACATAATTAAGGCATTTCAGACTGCTATAATGACAAAAATAGTTTTGATGCATTTTAAAGGTATATTTCGAGAACAAATTAACTAAATCATGACAGAGAATTTGATTTGATTTGATTGATTTTGCCCATTATCTCCTGCAATACCTCTGCAGGCCACCAGGGCCAACAGTTTGAGAAAAAAAGCGATGGTAGGGTTTAGTGTTGTTTTTTACACAACGCTTATTGAAGACTGAAATGACTAGCTTAAAAAGCGTAACAACTAATGCTAATGTGTTAGCATTAACTTAACTTTCTTGTGTGGGAGTCAGCACAATTCACGTCTCTGCTAAAGATTAAGAGAGATCAGCATCACAAATGTGATGAATTTAAACGCATTTACAAGGCAGAAATAGACACTGCTGATGCAGCAAAATTAGAGAAGACATTCACACACTCACTTTCCTTTAGCTTATTCACTGCATTTTCAGGGGCTGCCACAGTGGAATGAACCGCCAATTACTGTGATTTTTTTTTACATAGCGGATAAGGCAAATTTTGCATGCTCACAGAAAACCCCAGTATGGTTATCTGCCTTTGTTTTCACATTTGCATTGATCTGTATTTGGTATCAGAAGTGGCTTCTATGAAAGCCAGAAAAGCATCTAGATTACGCTTATTTACCAAAATAAAACATGATCATGCCTTGATTTTTCATTCTTTAAAGGGCCATGACACCCCCCTCTTTCGGTTAAAGTCTACTTCATAATTTTTTCAAAAGATGCATGATTAATGGGCGTGGAGCTCCGCGAGCATCAGGCAGGAGTGGGCGTGGCCAACAGGGGAGAAGGGGAGCGAATAACTGCTGTTGTCAGTTAGCTCACAAAATGAGACACAAAGAGGAGACGCATGAGTTTATAGTTTACAAAGTTAAAATGCAAAGAAATGAACAGTAATTTAATGCCCTGCTACATTTGTTATTCGTAATTTCATATACAGACAACCACAATTTATATCATTATAAAGATAATCGTGTTCATGTAAACACAACAAATGAGGATTCTCCCTCAATCCCCGTATCCAGCAGACTCAGTGCAGCAGGTCTCCTGACCCGTCTATTTTAACCATTAACCCTGCTGGTAATCTGGAGGATTTAGGCAAACACAGCAGCTGTAAATGTAACTTTATTATCATCAGCTTTTGAAGTTTGTTATATCAAATATAACTTAGACGCGATCGTGAGCTCCCGGAAGAAAGCGAAAACCGCTTGCACTTTTAAACAGACTCGTAAAGCAACAAAGGGACACGGCGGATTTTTCTTCTTGGCTTTGTGGCTGTTCATCAAGACGACAACAAGGTTTGTTTGAGCTCGGGTCGTCCATGGCTCGTTATTATATGCATATTGATTTTCCATGTAATGTCTCGGCTGTGTATTAGAACATGGCGGTTCCTTTGTTTTCATTCTGTCTTGCTCCACGAACTCGTGATGTATCTCTGTAACCAATCAGTGTTCAGCTGCACGTGTAGCTCCACCTTTTGTGACTCTTTCTCATGTTTGGTACCCTTTTGAAAGGGTGCTGAAAAATTGGTACGGTACGGTTCGGTACTATTTTTGACAGTGAAAACGACCATAAAAGTGTACCAAACCAAACCGTACCACTCAGTGGAAACGGGCAATTAGTGATTAGCACCTCACAGCAAGAAGGTCCCGGCTGGGTCAGTTGAAATTTCTGTGTGAAGTTTGCATGTTCTCTCTGTGTTGGCGTGGGTTTACTCTGGGTGCTCCGGCATCAGCCAAAGGAAAGTAGTTTAATGCGATTATTAACCTCCTTAATCAATATTTTTATTTCCTATTGTCTTCAAAACGTATCACCGTTATACAATGACTAGCCTATTTGCCTTAACTTGCCTAATTAAACTAGTTAAGCCTTTAAATGTCACTTTAAGCCAACCCAAGCTCATTCTGGAAACGTAGCCCCGCCAACGTTTCTGGAGACCGCGATTTACGTGGCCGGAGGTACGTAAGGCCGCGTTAAGTTTTTTTCGAGCGAACGCTGCGGGGTGGTGTGGCGCCGCTCCACCCCTCCTCTTCGCGCTCGTCTGCCGACGGCTCGTCTCCGAGTGGAGGGCTTTCCCGATGCAACCAGTTTGTCCGTTTAGCTCACAGCGTTGCGTCGGCGGAGCGGAGGCCCCGGAGAAGGAGGAGAAGCCGGCCGCGGGGAGGACGACCGGGATCGAGTCCGGGGAACAGCGGTTCCGGAAATCAGGTAAGAAGAAAAACGGAATCCAAAAAATAAGGGCGAGAACGCGGCGGGATCCAAAAACACGGTCGAAATCGAAGATGAGGGCTTTTGCTTTTTTTTTTTCTGGACGGCCTTTACAAACCGTCACTCGGGTTTAGGGAAGGAGGAGGAGGAGGAGGAAAAGGAGAGCGGCTGATACGGTCGATCCGGCGGCTTTTCGCGCGAGAACGGCGCGTGCTCCCGAGAGGCGCCCGAGACGCGAAAAAGCGCACACAGCGGCCTCTCGCGGATCCGCGAAAACAAAAACCGCTCGAATACGTACCTCCCGGGACGTAAATCGCGGTCCGCAGAAACGTCCGCGGGGCTACGTTTCCACAATGATCCCCTGTTGCTTTAAGCTGAATAGTAGTATCTTGAAAAAATTCTAGTCAAATATTATTTATATCATGACAAAGATCTTATTAGAAATGAGTGATTAAAACTCAAACAAAAAGAAATTTGTTGAATAAATGTTCTTTCCGTTAAACAGAAATTGTGGAAAAATATTCAGGGGGGCTAATAATTTTTATTATTATTATTTTTTTAATTGAGATATTTATTGCATTGC